TTTATGATTGTTTCAATTTTACATCAGTGCCATCTGTTTCTTTTGCAAATGGATTATGCATTATATATACTTTTATTATTCTGTGTCCTAAAATCTTAGGATAAAGGGCAGGCTCTAATTATTTTAAATAAATGAAAATGAATTTCTGACAGGTGTCCCATACAGAGTGACAGCCCTATTAAGAGTTCTCTAGGGCATTTATGAAGGGGACGACAACTAGTCAGAAACAGAATGCGGCCAGTTTTGTACATCTGCTCTTGATACCACCAGAGCTCCTGAGGCAGGCTCACTTTTCATTGTGTGAAGAACAAGAGCCAGGAACTGGATGGTACCTGAAGGATAGGACAAGATGGTCCTACCTGCAGGCTGAGAGTAAGCCATCATTGTATTAACTCCCACAAGCACATTATACTATGGTGCTCAAGAAAGTTTAAAAAATGCTAGCTGCGTTTAGGAGCTTCTCATGTAATATTTGCCTTTCCTATTATCAACACTCGCTTTGTTTAGCATCAAGGTGCCACAGTTGTAGTTTTGGGTTATGTGCTCTTTGCATAACCAGTAAATTTCAAGCTAGCCTACATATTAAACTTGGCCTGCCTAGCCTTTCCTCCTTTTGGAATTGCAATTTACAGCTGCTTAAAGTTAAATCAAGCCGGGGGAAATAATACAAGATGAAGCACAAAAATAATACAAGATGAGGCAGCTTCCCTGTTTCAAATCTTCACGCATTTTTGTCATCCCATCCCTCTGTAACCACGAGGAATAAGCTCCTCCCCAACCTGATTTTTAAAAGAGAGTTCACTGTATGAATGAAACAGTTCCAGGTAACATATGTTGCCCACGTTAACAGGATATATAGGAGGACTTCTGGTTCTAAAGTGGGCTTGAGGAACCTGCTGAAGCTCTTCAGCAGTTGTTAGTTGCCAGGATTAAAAATACAGCCCTCCCCCCAAAAAAAAAGTTTTTAAAAACAGCTGAAGACTCTTGAGATCCAGCCACTAGAGACTGCCAAAGCCAAGCTGGAAAAAAGAGAGCTTGATTTTGGGCCAAAGCAAGACTGCCAGGAGCATCACTTCACTTCCCCCATCAAATTTGGATGTGGCAGAATGGCTCTATATAGATGTTCAAAAGCTTCCCAATTGAACAGGCATGTTCCTTCCTTAGCTTGTAACTGCAAGTCGTATGCCAAGTATAGAGAGTTTCCATGGGTGAATATTTCCATCAAACACATTCACCAGTGCTTTAAAGGAAACTGACAGCTCCAATGCTCTTTTAACAAGTGGCAGATGTAACACGGACCTTCAAATATCATGCAAAGAGGAGAAACCAAATTTGAAGTGTCCAAAGGCATTCAGTTGCATCAAGTCCACAGGAGTCCTATGTTCTTCTGCCTTGAAAATTGTGCTCTTTGAAAGCATGTAAACTTAGAATTAGATAATTGCACTGTTTCGCTGCTTTTCCAAAGCAAACAGCAAACAGCTCACACTTTTACACTGGAGCATTTGCTTTGAGCTCAGAAAACAGCAAATGAAATTTGTTTTTTGTGGGGTGTGTGATCTTCCACCTATGGCCTATAAAGTACTGGTACATTTGGCTTTTAAACAACAAGTAGCGAGGCCACATAAAAGCCAAAGTCTGAAGATATTTCACTCAAGCACAACCTACACAAGAAATACATCAACCCAACCTTCAAAAAGTACTTCCAGACCTTTATAAAACCAAAGCAAAAAGCAGATCTCTAGTGTTTGGACAGCTTGCATTCAGTAAGGGAACATTCAGAGTTTTGAGTTGGAACGGCACCCATTTGGTATTGAAATCACTGCAGAAACCTTTCAAACCAAAACAAGAGAGCTTTGTCCAATTGCATTATTCTCCCAGCTACAATACTATATGTATAAATATTGGGGTGGGAGGTGAGAAGGAAATTACAAGGAGAAGGAAATGCTGATAGCAACTTTGACAGATAGACTGCATGACAGGCAAACGTTTTTGGCAAAATTCCAATTCCATGTGCAAACATTCAGCTGCCACATCCACGCCCCAGGCAATTTCTTTGCCCTCCCTAGCCCAAGGCTATGCGAAACATTTTCCTTCAACCTCCCTTCTCTCCATGGCCATCAAACCTTATTGCTGCTGGTGTTCCTCTTTTCCCCAAGAGATATTTCCCTTTGTTTTCTCAAAGTAAAAATGGAATTCATGCACACAGGGTCCATCACTAACAGCAGTAGCAGCCACAGCCACCTGCCAGGACCATAAACAAAATGGTGCCCTGCACAGGTCTTCATTTATGCTGTGGTTTACTGGGGGGACGGACGGGACTGAGATCTGTTTTCAGTAACAACGAGGAGACCAGTTGCAACATGTCAAGCATGACGGACAGTATGCAAATGTAATAAATAACGATGACTGTCAAGCATGGCTTCCCCAGCAGATCCTTCTTTTTAGAAATTAAAAAATGACCATACCTATTTGTCAGCACAAAGTGGAGAGAATCGAGGCCTGGGTTCGCAAAAATCTACCCTAAGTTTTCCTCCCAACCTTTCCTCACCCACCCACTCCAATTCTTTGCCATCGCCACCCCAGGACAATTCTCCATTCTTTGCTTCCAAAATCAGGGCTACACTGTGCCAGGGCTCCATCCAGGAATCTGTTTTTAATCTCAGGGCCCCAATGGACATCTTCCCCCACCCGGATCCACACGCCCCCACCTTCCTCCCAGACCGCGTGCTGTCTCCTTACTCCACCCACATCAAGAACGATGCTGTTTCTGCCCAGGTTTCACTGACACAAGTGATTACAATGCGAGCGACAATGAGGCTTCTGTAGTTTGGAAATCCGGTTTTAAGCATATAGCATCAGCCCCAGTTGGAAGTCGTGAGAACAAGACACAAGGTCAAAACCTGAGGAATGCATTGAGTGGGCTAGAGCTAATGGAAACACAGGAAGCACATAAACAATTCGTGAATGATTTAGGAACAGGGATTTGGAAGAATGACCCAAGTGTCCTTGCAGAGGTGTGAGCAAGCCCTACCTCGTTTGATCATCTGCCAGACCACTGCCTGGGAAAGAGCAATTTTTTGCAAACCAAATCCCATCCCTCCCCTGTCTCCTTCGTTTTTGGGAGGGATTCACTGAGGAAGTTTGAAAACTCTTGAATTGGGCGGTAATGGAATGGCGGGAGTGGGGAAGAGTGAAGAGGTAGCTTGCCAGGTTTTAGGTACCAGTATGCAGAGAGGCAAAGGGACATGGGTGGCGCTGTGGGTTAAACCACAAAGCCCAGGGCTTGCTTAGGGTTCAAATCTCCACGACAGGGTGAGCTCTCATTGCTTGGTCCCTGCTCCTGCCAACCTAGCAGTTTGAAAGCACCCCAAAAAGTGCAAGCAGATAAATAGGTATCACTCCGGCGGGAAGGTAAACGGCATTTCCATGCGCTACTCTGGTTCACCAGAAGTGGCTTAGTCATGCTGGCCACATGACCCGGAAGCTGTATGCCGGCTCCCTTGGCCAATAAAGCGAGATGAGCGCCGCAACCCCAGAGTTGCTCACGACTGGACCTAATGGTCAGGGGTCCCTTTACCTTTTATGCAGAGAGGCAAGGGAATAGATGGAGCCAATTAGGAAATTAACAGCCTTCCAGAACAGGGGAGATCCATCTCAGGTGCTATCAAGGGTGAAACATCAACACAGTCAACAATTCAAACCCTGCCTAGCAGAGTCAGCAACAGCAAGAAGTAACAGCATTCTGTATCAAGGAGCACAGTTTATGGGAAACTGAGAGCTTGGTTGCAGGTCAAAATCCTATGTCCCCATTATGCTGGCTGCTGCACCACAAGGACATAAAACATTGCTAGAAAATGTTTGCACCCCTGGAAACCAAGAGCAGAGTCAAAAGGGAACAGCTGCCAATACAACAGCTAACCTGCCAACACTCCCACAGTGTCACCAGAAACCACAGTGAACTGAGAAACCACACCCCCAGGGTACCATCAGGAACGACAGCAATCGACAAATGCAGAGAGAGTAGAAACACCACAATGATATTTCCCCAGTCAGTGCATTGTATCACCCACTCAGGCACACTTGCAGGAATAGACAACAGCACCTGCCCCATCAGAGACTGACCATCACAACAGCATTCAGGAAGCACATGTTTGGAATTCTGAGGATACTGAGGAAAAGGATTACAAGTCCCACCTGCCGAAATGATTCTGTATACTCTTAAGCTAGGAATACTGTGCAGAACACATCTATGGGTGTCTGTGGAAGGGGAAGCAAAAGTTTTACTCCCCCGTGGGATAGGGAACAACATGAGGAAGAACATGTTTAACTCGCCAAAAGCAGCACCCACAAGCTGCCAGATATACAACTGGTAAGACAACACAAAAGGCAGGCAAGGGATGTGTGTTTGAGTTCCCACCTTTGGGGCATGCAACGTGGCAATGCTTACATTCTATGGCAATAATTATGGACAGGCAGGCCTTCCACGTCACAGAAAGCAAAGAAAAGACAGGCAAGACCCATAATGGGAACTTTGTAGTCTCCCAAGAGCCAGCACACACCCTTCCCTCCCCCTCTATCCCAAACATCACATCCAGGGACCCTAGAGACCGTATGGAGCGCTGTATCTCAGTGAAAAAGCACCGGCTTAGGCTTTGAGACATCCCAAGTTCAATCTGGGTAGAGTGCCAGAAAAAAAGGGATGGAATGACAGACCCACAGAATGTGATAGCCAGAGCCAAGGTCATGGGGAAGATGCAGATTCTCAGTATTGATGGGGTATGATGGTAGAAAATCCACTGGTCCACCATGAAGCCATCCAGGATGAGTAACATGGACCATGGACCAAGGACAAGGTCATGGAGAAGATGGAGATTCTCAACACTGATGGGGTTTGTTGGTAGAAAACCCACTGCCCTATTACGAAGCCATCCTGGACAAATAACTAAGAGTAGTTTTGATTTCCTATCCGCAAGCCACCATGAGAACAGACACACAGATGAAATAGTCACAACTTTTATTGAGCAGCATCAGTTGCCGAAGGAGTTCTGAAGTCAACTCAGATGAGCAGGGTTGCCCACTCTTTGGTTTATGCAGACCTGCTGTGCCTTCGAAACCCACAGAAAATCAGCAAGGAACAGCTGTTTCCAATATCAACCGCATCATGCTGCCTGTCCAGCATTCTGGAAAGGCACAGGAGCCCTGCTTGACGGAAAAGGTGGCAATCCCAAAGAAGAATAGCTGGTTTCCCTCCTGCTAAATGCTGCTGTTGTTGTAGGCCTCTCAGGCATCTGCATGACACGGGGAATGGGATGGTAGGAAAACACTTTGCCTTGATGCATGTTAAATGGTTGCCTGAGGGGAGATGAGACAGATATGGGGAGATAATGAGCAGCAGCTGCAGCAAATAAGATGACTAAATGTTTATTGTGGATTGGTGAGAAAGTGTGTTATTATTCAGGTGCTATTCCACTAGTTTTGCATCTTCCAAGTGCAAATCATTAGCCCCTGACATCTATGCCTGAGGGTTCACTAAGGGGAGATAATGTAGTCATCATAACAATACCCACCTATCCAGAGTACTGCACTAGAACATTGCATGCAGCTTAACACTTGCCCTGTTCCATGTGCTTCAGATCAACCTGTAAAGGAAAACAAGTCCTGAATTATACCATCAATGATTGGCATTCTCCCAACAAAGGTGGTTATGCCTTCATTGGTGTAATGTAGGATTGTGCATACACTTGGGAGTTTAGGGCCCCAAGAAACTCTTTTTGTATAGTGTACACACCCATTCATAAACAACCCCACCCACCATTATGCCAGATCATACCATTACCCCAAACTACATAGGGTCTTGCGGCGGGGGGAGCCCCTTTGTGACCTAGGAGTAAAGACAGATGGCCTCCTTTGAAGCATGGTCCCTCATCTCTGTTTGCTTACCCTTTGTGCATGCCTTGTCCTTGCAGACCCAGTTTCAATCGTGGAGTTGAGGTTCTGGTTGGCGTTTGCCCCAAGGCAAGGTATCTGTAAGGGTTCTGAGAAGATAACATTACTCACTTGTTCTTTCCTCTCCCTGGCTGCTGGGTACACAAACAACTAAACGCTGCTTCTGCACTAACTGTCTCCAGCACCATCTGTGTGTTCTCTAGGCATGGGAACAAAGGGATATGGCCTTGTGTCGCACAACTTGATATATGCAATCCGAGTTCCTAGTCTAAGGGGTGCAAGCTCTGGTGTTGTGTCATGATTAGCTGAAGAACCGCTCTGAATCCTAGAACTGCACCCAACTAGGTCACTGAATGGAGTAGAATGATTTTTACTTGTGCAGTGGGACCTCCCTTCCCTCTGTGCACCCCTTGCACTCCCCCCAAATTTGCTCAGAGGAGGTCATGACTTAGTTGGACGCAACCCCTTGCCTCCATGCGTGTCAATGGGAGCAGTTGTTTTGGGCACTATATTTACTTGTTGGAAGCATTTGAACTTGCATACACACTCTTCTGCAAAGATAATGCACTGGAAGTGCAACTAGCCAATGGACAACCACCCGATTCCAAGTCAACTCTCACTTCTGCCTCAACAAGCTCCAAACTCCACCCGGCCTTCCTCTTACCCCTTACTTTTGAAATGTACCAGCAGTGCATGGCTTCCTCCAGCGATAGGTGCTGCCAGCATAATGGACTGATATTTCTTATGTATATAGGAAGAACAGGGAAATCCTACTCAAAGGAGTCTGCCTTGTACAATATTGTCAAAAGACAGGGTGGTGGCCAACACAATAACTGAGACCCACAAGCCAGCACTTATGCTATTTTTATTCATGCTTTTTAATAGCTGGTTGCTGATGTATGTAGAATGATAGCTCTTTGGCTTTAAACTATACCCAAAGCCCCGTGTTCGTTGCGCTTTACTGTTTTATGATGCTGTTATATTTTTAATTTCCAGTTTTGCAATCCACTTTCAGAATCCCGACAGAAAAGTCTGCTCTAAGAGGTATAAACAAAAAGGATAAAGATTTTAATTTTTGATAGAGAGAGGCAGTGCTTATTTATTTCAATGTAATTTTAGCCAGAAGAAATAGCTCATAAAGAAGAAAATGTGTAAAATGTTCATGCCTCGGTATCAGCTAATGGAAGCCAGGCATGTTTCATTATGCACGTCCTATAAATTTGTTTATCTATACTAGTGCTTTCAGACAATGTTGACTTCCGAAGTTCACTGCTTCATTCGACAAAAATGTTATTCAGGAGAACCGCAGGCTTAAACTTGTCTGACCAAAACTGTATCTAGATGGGACCATTTCTGTTGTATACAATTCGTTGTCGTTTTCAGGCCAAGATAAGATGTTCTGTATATATAGACTTAAAACTAAACTGTATAGCTATATTAATAATAAATAGTAATGCACATATAGCATATTCCTTTATTTTGTATCATCATCATCATCATCATCATCATCATCATCATCATCATGGCACCGTGTATTGACAGCATAATTTACCATATTTTCCTTAACCAAAGACAGACTGCAAGACTATGACTGGACTGCACACTTAAATGTCTCGAGATTATTTTTTTAAAAGCATTGTTTTGCAGCCTCTGCCACATTAATCTCAGAGTTTCTTTTTGCCAATATTTTCCACTCTCCTGGACAATACCCCTCGCAGAGATCTTTAGTGAGCCTTGGATTCACATGTTTCATCTCTCTACAATGACTGGGAAAGGCATGAGCAAGTCCAAGGAAGCTTCCTAATATTTATCTAGGTATAATCCTGGTTAGGAAAAGACACCGGGCAGATCCATCATTCCAAAAGATAATCTCACAGAGTGTGCAATGAAACAGTAATGTCCTCAAAGGTATGTGGATACGAACGAAGGGTAGATGTAAACCCAATATAAAAGGAACTATCAGAACACCAGCACAGAGCTGGATTGCAAAAAATAAGTTATAGAGTAGTAGCTGCAAAGCCAAACATTCACCTTAAAACTATTTACATTATTAAAGGGAGGGATTAATAACCCAACTAATTTCAGAGTTTCATGAAGAATCAGACCTATGTTCTCCAGCTGAAGAGGTAACTTGGCTATTAGCAACGCTAGCTTGTAATTTGTTGTGTTAATTATTGTTGCCAGTTTATTATTGCTGTCCGAGTGGTTAAATGGTTGTGTCCTTCAACTGAGCAGAACAGTCGCAAAACACTTTGTGTCACCCCAAAATTTATTTTGTCTTCAGTAGCTGCCCAGAGTGGCTGGGGCAACCCAGTCAGATGAGCGGGGTATGAGAAATAAATTCTTTTCGAGAAAATCGTGTAAGAAAGCTGTATGCTTACATTTACATTTTCCTGACCATTAAAAGTTAAACAGGATTATTTGACATTGTGGCTTTACTCCAAATCAACAAATAAAAGGATGTCTGGGAATCAGAACTGGGAAGTACTGCATTTCCTTTTAAGTTCTCTTTTTGGCAAGAAGAAGAACCGAAAAATGATCTATCATTCCAGTAAGGAGTGTTCTTTACTGACCTTATATCAGGATCCAAAGTTTCTATTCTAAGCCTAGAGGGAGCAATCCTGTTTCTGCCATGAGGAGTCAATATTACTCTGAATGAAGGTACAGACATTTAAAATGTAGTGGAAACAATCTGAATGCACACTGCCCTGGTCCGTACATAATGTTAAACCAAGATATATCATCCAGTCTCTGTGAGGCCAAGCAAAGTCTTGAGTTTCAGTACTCCTCCAGTCAAGAGTAACAAACCACGGTTCGGTTTTACTTTCCCCAATTTCTGACTTGTTGTAGATGAATCAGGAACTGTGGTTTGAAACTAACTCACTGGTTAAACAAACTAGCTTCATAACTCAACGAGTCTATTTCAAATAATGATTCCCGGCTTGCACATACAGGCCTTGTTTGTATGGCACAGTAAACCACTGTTAATGGTTTGCTGTGATTGCGCCTTTCTGACCAATAAACTATGGGCTGCACATTAAAAAAGAAGATACAGGAATACTTTTAAAACAACAACAAAAGTTTATTTTTAAAGCTTTTAGTTCATACACTAAGGACGTCTTTGTGCAGAATACATATAATGTAACATAGCATAGTGTAATATAATCATTTCTAATTACCTAAGCATCCAATATTAATTACACCTAAGTGTAACCTCTTGTAGATGTAATCTTAGCTATACTTTCAACCTCTTAACATGCAATTCATTTGAAATTCGTATACTTGTCTCCAGATTATATTTCTCTTTCACAGACACAATTAAATACTCACCCTATATTTAAAATATTTATCCTAAGATTTTAAAATAAGTTTTGCATCTATTGTAAACTCTGTTTTGTTTTTTAATGTTTTGCAACTAAAAATATGCTCGGGTTAATGAAAGAGGGAGAAGCATTCTCGTTTTCGCAAAGCTAGAACATTTCTCATAAGTGTTCTGCAGAAAACAGAACTTGGATAGATTTTTAGTTTGAGAAATTCAATGAGCCCTGGACTTGGATCTGGCTACTAACAATTTACCTGACCTTTGACAAATAGACAGGGATCTGTTTCACATAATTGTTGGCAATGATAAGGAGAATGAGGAAGCGTATTCCTGGAAACATGTTGAAGAAAATTTTGCCTGCCTTGTAAATGTGTAAATGAGTTACTGATGAACACACACAAATGGTAGGAGACTAAGTTCAGTGGTAGAACATCTGCTTTGCATGCAGAAGGTCCCAGGATCAAACTATGGCATCTCCAGGTAAGGCTACACTAGACCCTGGCTGAAAACTGGGAGAGCTGCTGCTAGTCAATGTACACAACACAGATCTAGATGGAACAATGGCCTGACTACCCAAGTCTTAGGCAATTTCTGAGGCATGAGTTGCTCCCATACTATTTTTCTGTAGCAGGTAGGAATACAGCAAAACCAAATGGAGACACAAGCCCCTCATTTGGCAGGATAAGAATGGATGGGAGGTGACCTGCTCTTGATGGGGATTGCCCTTTGAAGGAAACAGCTTGGAAACTTTACTGTCACTTGAGGCTCAGGTGGTCTCAGTGGTGACTTCCACCAGTTTGGGCTGGTGGCCCAGTTGCAGCCCTATCTGGGCAGGGATAGCCTAACTTGTTTTGAACTGGAAAGGTCTAAGTGGCTCAGGACTACAATACCTCAAGGACCGCCTCTCCCCATATGAACCAACCCAGACCCCGTGATCATCACCCGAGGTCCTTTTTTGTGTGCCCCTTCCGCAAGAGATCCGGAAGGTGGCAACACAACAACAGGCCTTTTCTGTGGTGGCTCCGTTTGTGGCATGCTCTCCCCAGGGTAGCTCACCCGAGGCCTTTGTTAAATCTCTTTAGGGGCCAGGCAAAAACATTTATCCCAGGCCTTTGGCCAATTAAAGAATCTATGGCTTTTTAAATTGAGTGTGGAGTGTGGGGTTATTGTTTTGCTAGCCATTATGTATTTTGATGCTTTTATACTGCAAACTGCCCTGTGATCCTCAAGTGCGGGGTGGTATATAAATTTAATATAAATAAATAAATTTGAAAGGGTCTGTGCCAACACTTGTTTGGCTTCACTTTCACCGCATTTTCGTTTCCACTGAAGGCTTTGTGCAGCCGAGATTCCTGTAGCACACAAATTTGAATAATACAATAATAAAACCAGAGTCACACAAAACGGGAAAAGGGTAGGGACTGAGCCATTGGCACATATTTCATTGTTCCCGTGTCAGAGAGTAAGTCTCCTTTGGTGGCATGCTGAGGACAGACAGTGTTTGTGCCGTCAAAACCTGGACTGGGACACAATGTTCAAAGTGCATCTCAGTTTACAACATGATGTTTCTCTCTTGTTTTTTGGTTTTTATTTTTTTGAAGACACCAAACTATATCTCACTTTTTGTATAAATCACTTGAAGCTTCATGCAACTAAGGGCTAGTGCCCCCATTGTCTAAGAGGTTCTTTTTCCACATAGAAAGCTTAAATCTCCGATTAGCAGAAAACCAAGATATGGAAGAACGTTTAAATCAATAATTTCACCCGCGTGCATTCTGAAATGGTGCAAAAACACTAGCACCTTCCACATTTGTACAAGTTCTCTCGATTGCTTTGCCACAGCAGTAGTCCAAAGTACATATCCATCTTCCTTCTATATAAAGTTATGCTCTACAGAGGAAGTAGCAAAATCTATAAGTCAGAAAGTTGCAGGAACTTCCAAGAACAAAGCTGTGATCTCTAAATTTCATTTTTCAAAGCTAGGTCAATGTTTCAAGTCTCAATTTGAGGGAGAGGTTACAAAGCACACACATTTATTTGTACAATACAAACGCTGTTTCCTACTGACTGTATTCTGCAGCACTCTTTCTAAAACACATTGGCCTTGTTTGCATGTCACAGTAAACTCTGCACGGACCTATCCTGGCCATGTTGTTTCCCCCTGAGTTCCCAAGCAGTAATCTGTAGCCAAGGTTTATTCTTGGTTTGTACATCATGGTTTGGGCAGAACACTAAGTCAGGGATCATGGTATGTTTCCTCCATGTGGGGAGGAGTCAAACGCACTGAAGTACACTATGGTAAACTATAGTTTACTGTGAAATGCAGACTGGACCATCGGCTGTATGGTGAGTTTAAATTTGATACATACATAGCAACTCATACAAATTAGGGGGCAGGAATCAAACAAATATACCCCAATCCTCCTCTGAGGGATCTACGTAGTCAATGGAAGGGGTGAGGAAACTCAAGAAGTATGGCTTACATCACAGTTAGCAAACCACAAGCCTGTATATACATTTACTTCCCACTGCCAGGTATGTGGAAGGGGACGTCTGAAATGGCCTTGCATGGCAATGAAAAATCTCAGTCTGCACACCCCTCAAAGCAACTTCAGCAAAATTGCAGCCAAGGAGTTTTATTTAGGGGTAGGTAAGTTGCAAGTTGGGATGTGGGTGGCACTGTGGTCTAAACCACAGAGCCTAGGGCTTGCCGATCAGAAGGTTGGCGGTTTGAATCCCCATTACGGGATGAGCTCCCGTTGCTTGGTCCCAGCTCCTACCAACCTAGCAGTTCGAAAGCATGTCAAGTGCAAGTAGATAAATAGATACCGCTCCAGCGGGAAGGTAAACGGCATTTCCGTTCGCTGCTCTGGTTCGCCAGAAGCGGCTTAGTCATGCTGGCCACATGACCTGGAAGCTGTACGCCGGCTCTCTCGGCCAATAAAGCAAGATGAGTACCACAACCCCAGAGTCGTCCGCGACTGGACCTAATGGTCAGGGGTCCCTTTACCTTTACCTTTAAAGTTGCAAGTTACCCAAGGCCTGAAAGATTCAATGAGGGCTAGAGACAAGCTTGATGAAAAAATGCCTTATATGCACATGAACATACTGTCCAACTCAGATAAGCATGACTGCTTACTTAAAGGTGCTATTTATTCTGGATCTCGGTTGCAGATTTCTTACCCAGATGATTCAGAGAGACACCATGTATGCTTTATTAAACTTGCTCCTTGCTTCACAGAAGCATAGTGCGATTCTAGCCTGTTCTCTCCGATGCACATTGCAATCTGCACAATCACACACTGTACTTTTCTCAAATGAGTTATCAGAATAGATCTAAATGGTTATAAGAAAATGGTTCTAAGAAAAACTTTTCTTTTCTTTGGAAAGGAACAAAAGCCGCACAATGGAGTGCTCATTTTTTTAATCTTCAAAACCAGTTTAAGAATCTCAGGTAGCAAATGGCACCAAGAAAAAGTCAGATATGATTAGCGAATGATGAAGACTGAATATATCTTATACTGAAGTTAGAAAAAAGAGACCTAGAGATTCAGGAAAATAAATGTAAAAGTGCTAGCATATCTGTGAAAAACTATACCAAAAAATGGGAGGGGGAAAGAGAGAAGAACCAGTAGAATTAAAAAAATAGTACAGAGAAGGGAGAATGCAAAAATGTTATAGCCCAGAAATAATCTGCTCTGCTGGAGGAGGCTTGGAAGAGGGTAAATGTCCCTCTGCTTAATTTTCAAGGGAAGTACTGCTGGCTGGGCATAGCTTCCAACCCAATATTCAAGGAGGAATATAATCACATTATTAGAGGTAATAAGAAGCATTGCCTACAATTCCAAGCCTTTTCAGTTTAAGGTTCGAAAGACAGCTTATGCAGCACGGGCATGCCATGAGAAATAAGGAATTTGTTACTAGGTCCAAAATTCACTTCTCAAGAAGCATGCTTGCAAGACTGAAGGTTTTCCAAGGGCTAATTCAGACAAGGCCACCTACCATTAAATCCTCAAGTATTCTTGTTTTTCCCTCCATGGATTCACCTAATGTGCTGCTGCATACTGACTTACAGAGTGAAAATTTGTGCTGCAAAAGTACAAATCTGAAATCCTGGAGAGTCATGGCTAGTCAGTGCAATGATAGAAAGCAGCTTCCTATCATTTATGCCCTTTATATTTGCTGCACAAACGGCAGAAGAGCAGGCACAGCGATAATCCAAGGAAGTGAGAATCTTTTCAGTTTAGTGACCAAGCAAAGCCATGCCTTCACTGGCGGCCTTGGTGTGTCTTGCAGTAATGCACTGGTGCTGTATCATTTACACCAGGGTTTCCCAAACTTGGGTCTCCAGCTGTTTTTGGACTACAACTCCCATCATCCCTTGCTAGCTGGATGTGTGGTCAGGGATGATGGGAACTGTAGTCCAAAAACAACTGGAGACCAAGTTTGGGAAACCCTGATTTACACCAATGTGTTAAAGGCTCAAGAATGTTAAGGCAAACTGGACTGAAATGCAGAGCGTGTGCCCCCTCCTTTTTCCCATACCAAGAAAATTAAGACTTGTGGGCAAAACAAGTTAGACAGCCCGCAGTTGGTAGGCTTGTGAAATGAGAGTGTGTTTGTTTGCAGAGCTCCAACCCTGTTTGCAGAGCCAAGTACAAGCAACTAGCAAGGACTTGCATCTCTAAATATAGAAGAATCCTCTTTGGAAGATCACACAACTCCCATGACATTCCTCCCTGTAGATTTCACCCTCCAGACCATGTCGACACACCTTTACCACTGTACCCTGCAACTAAGCTTGTTCCCTCGTCGTAATTCACTTTTCATCTGCATGTACCATTATCACTTACTAAATCCCAAAGAATGATTGAGAGATTACCTCAAATCCCTGTTGGCCCTGAAACTTGAGAACACATCTAACCACCAGCATGAAGATTTAATAACCCGGGTGGATAAAGTGAACCGTCCACCTTTCCAACTGCAAAATTGTTAGTCTAGTAGAAGGAAGCAAGTCTACAAGCCTAGGAGGAGAGTATAAAAGCAAACAGAAATATAATTTACATCAATTTATACTTGAAAAGCATGACGGAGAAACCACTTGCCAAGGTAAGAGGGAAACGAATGGTACATATATTCATATAATAAACAGAACTCTTTTTTAATCTTGTAGAATATACAGTTTTCATAGTTTTAAGGGAAGGGTAAAGATGCTACTGTTTTGGTAGATACCCCTAGGTCTATTCAATCAGCTAAATACAAAAAACCTGGCATCTATAGGTGACCCAAAGACAATTTAAAAAGCAAGTTGATATGTGACCACATAACGCCATGACAATATCATGGCCTCCCACCATGTAGGGGACATAGACACTCATGTGTTCTCACCAGGGCGAGTGTGTGCTGCACTCTTCCAAAGCTGATGGAAGGCGCTCCATGCCACCTGAGCCTCAAGCAACAGCCATGGACCTAGAAGAAGCCCCCAAGCTAGGAACTGTTCACTAATGACACCTCAGTCTTATCTGGATTGAGCTTCAGCTTGTCAGTTCTCATCCAGTCCACTACCGAGGCAAGACCAGCACATCCATTGCCTCACCTGTAGATGTCAAGGAGAAGCAGGGCTGTGTGTCACCAGCATATTGCTGACAATGTACAGTGGTACCTCGGGTTAAGAACTTAATTCGTTCCGGAGGTCTGTTCTTAACCTGAAACTGTTCTTAACCTGAAGCACCACTTAAGCTAATGGGGCCTCCTCCTGCTGCTGCTGCTGCACGATTTCTGTTCTCATCCTGAAGCAAAGTTCTTAACCCGAGGTAATATTTCTGGGTTAGCGGAGTCTGTAACCTGAAGCGTCTGTAACCTGAAGCGTATGTAACCCAAGGTACCACTGTACTCCAATTCGTCAGATGACCCCACTCAGCGGTTTCATGTAGATGTTAACCAGCATGGGGGATAAAGTCGAACCCCGAGGAACCCCAACAATATATACTAATCCCTCCTCACAGACAAACATTGCTTTTCTCCCATTTCACTCCTTTATTTACATGTCTGCTGTGGTCACCTCCTGCTCTGAACTCACTTTTCACTGAGTTGTAAAGCCAGGAGGTTGCAGCCAGCTCAATTCTTCTCAGAGTAGGACCCACTGAAATTCATAAACCTCAGTTAGTCGTGTCCATTAACTTCAATGGGTCTACTCTGAGTATGACTTGCATTGGGTAGAACCCAAGTGTGTGTGTGTGTGTGTGTGTGTGTGTGTGTGTGTACACATGCACATGTCACAAATACAGTGGAATAGAGGTCTTTCAGCAGCGACGCCTGTTCCTTTGACAGAAAACAGGAAGCCAGAAGTCTCTTCTTCAAAGATTCGTTTCTAAAATAGATTGCTCATCTTCTACCTCCGCCCACAAAAAGGTCATGCTGCTTTTGATGCCTTGGCCTGTGGCTATGGAACTCTACCATGAAGTACAGTCAGGGAGGTTGGGATTGAAGAATGTTTCTCACATATAGTGTAATTAGGCTGTAAACTTGTGTCTTGACCACAGCTCTTCAGCTTTGCAGCTCCTGCTTAAAGTATGGCATGTCCATTAGCTGAGACCCCTATTAATACTGGTGCATCTTGCAAGACCTTGCCTCCCAAATTCCATGTGCTTCTTTCTGTTTGAATGTGGTTTGATCTTGTTGCATCGTTGTTATCTATATAATAGACAGCCCACATTATTATTATTATTATTATTATTATTATTATTATTATTATTATTATTATTATTATTATTACTTTTCAAAAAATATTATTTCTATTGCTGCCCCAAATAGAACATGGGCAGCTCACAAAGCAAAAATTCAGACTATAATGCACATGCACAACCAAAGAACTGCTAATATTTAGATAGCTAATATTCAGCATGTCTGTTAGCAACTGTTGAATCCCTCCACTCCCAAACAACGGCACAGATCGCACTTGCCGTTTTGGTTTTCCTTCTGAATTTTGAATCCATTGTTCTTTATGTTTCTGACACCGACACATTTAATGCATCACATCAGCAATCGGAGTCAATATAATACAATGGCTTGTTTCTCTCGCTACTTGAGGACCACAACCCAGGACCACAACAACACCCTCAGTGGAGAATTAGGTTACTCTTCCTCCCTTACTTAACCTCTCGAAGGAGGAACCTTTAATCTCCACGGCTATTTGAGCACCTCAGGATCAAAAAATGTCTCTCCTCCATCTCATAGTGGCTGCAAAGCCCACAGCAGGAACAGGAGCTGACTCAGCTGATAGAGAAACAAGAACGGAAACAGCAGCACAACACCCATGTTACAGATGAAAGGGGTGAAACAGCTGCTGCACACGGCATGCTTTTTCCAGCTCAGCGGATCAGAGGAGCTTACTGGCTAGTCACTTGGCTTCCAACCCGCTTAAAAAAAAGTTCTTCCTCAAGAAGGGATGCTGACGTATGGAGGAGGAGGTGGGGCAACGTAAACAGCGAGAAGCCCTCAAAATGGTGGGCCAGAAAAGACTCAATAACATGGAAAGAAGGAAGCAAACTGTGAGTGGTCAAGGTAATGCCTGCTAGGAAATGCTGACTAGCACAGAAGGAGGAATACAGCCTGTATATATGAGGATACATGAATGTTACTGGTATCCAGGCTGCCATTAAAGTCAGCAGCAAAATTTACATCAAATTGGACTGGTCTGGAGACACAAGCCAAATGGTTAGGTTTTTTCACTCTGGTATCTCAAC